AAATTAAATTTCATAGGGTATTTTGTGTCAAAACCTATAGTTCGATGTACAACCATGTAATTTGTAATAATCACCCTCTTGAGTCTATAGCTAAGAAGGATATAGCTTTTGAATTTTAATCACTAAAATCGTATTGATAATATAGCTCCCGTTTGGTTCGCTTATTTGAATTTTGTTGGTTTGATGTTTTTGATTTAAACAGAAAAATTCAAACTATGTGGTTTAAATTGTAGTTTGAATTGACGTTTAGATTTGTAGTTAAAGTTTTAATTTGAACATGGAATAAAATTTGAATTTGTGTTTGGTAGGTGTGAAAAATAGAAATAATATTGGGCACTTTTTACTATTTAAAAGTGATTTGAACGGTTGAACTTGAAGGGTGAGCTAAACTCTAAGTTGAGCCGTTTAATTCAGTTCAAATGAGGAATATAATTCAAACTGCATGCTTACCAAACGTCAGTTTAAACTATGCTCACTATTCAAACCGAGTTGAACTAAACTAAACTAGTGAAACAAATAGGGCATAGTATTTTTTATGTATTGCGGGTAATATTAGTGGTGTCAATAAATGTGCACTTATTTGTTTCACTAATTTAGTTCTGTTCAACTCAGTTTGAATAGTGACCACAGTTTGAACTTGCGTTTGGTAAGCATGCAGTTTGAATTATATTCTCCATTTGAACTGAGTTAAATGATCAAACTTAGAGTTTAGCTCCCCCCTCAAGCTTAACTATTCAAACCATTTTTTAACAGTAAAAAGTGTTCACCCTCTTTGTTTTTCACACCTGTCAAACACAAATTCAAATTTTATTCCCTATTCAAATTAAAGCTTTAATTACACATCGAAACGTCAATTTAAACTACAATTTAAACCACACAGTTTGAATTTTTCTGTTCAAATCAAAAGGTTTAAATAAATAAAATTCAAACCAACAAACCAAACAGGGATAAATTTTCAAATTCCAAATTTTTGGACTGCAACAACAGACAACACAACAAAACAAATGTGAAAAAATATCTTTCAGAAAAGAAAACAAAAATTTAAAAAAAAACAAAATAGTTAAATTTAAGAAACTCCATGAATTTGGTTAGCATTTTAGAAAAAAATATATCTCAGAAAAGAAAACAAAAATTAAAAAACAAAAGAGCTAAATTTAAGAAAGTCTATGCACTTGGTTATCATTTAAAGTTGTATTAAATTTAGTCCATGAACTATATAAATATGTCAAAATTAGTCCCCGTGTTAAATAATATGAACAAAAATAATTGTACCAATTTTTGTCCCTGAACTAATGAATTTAGCGTAGTATGCCCCTTTATGAATAAATACATAAAAAATGCATTAAACATGGTCAACCATGTTCCAAGCCATTTTTATGTAGTTTTCTTTAATTCTTTCAAACAAAATGATATTAGAAAAAAACACACATTTGATTATCTTATTCTACTTTTATGTTTTCTTAAATCAAGAAAACAATTTCTTGTTTAGAAGTAGAGGCTGGCTTGAACTTATGGTTTTTTTTTTTTTTTAAAAGAATAAAATGAAATGGAATTTAAATTTGATGTTTGGTTGAATTTATAAAAAAAGAATGACTATTCACCCATTTTAGATGAATCATCATTCTTTCTTTATATGAGAAGAATAGTCATTCTAACCTCTTTTTCTTTTTTTTCATAATATAGTTACAATAATATAATAATATGATAATAATATTATTAACTAGTTAAATATTATATAATAATATAATTCCAATAAAATAATTATCTTAACCATTTTAATGATATTATTATATAGTATCTTATCTAATAATAGTTATATTATATTATATTACATTTTATATCTTATAGTAATTATATTGATGTGTAAAATATTAATTATATTACGATATTAATTATATTGTAAGTGTTATATATATAACATAAGGGTAATTTTATCAACATTATTTTAAATAGTATAACACCTAATTAAGAGAATGTAAACAATTAACACGAAATTAAAATGCGTGTACAACGTTGAGAATGTAAAAAAATAGTTTATAGTTGTAATAAGGTTAAAGTAGAAGGTATAAAAAATAATAATAATAACATTCGAATATAATTAAAAAAGGTTTGGCTGTAGCACCTCACGTGAAGGTAACAAATTTTGATAGCAGGAAAAAGGGGAGAAAAAAAAAACAAATTAGTATTTGATAATAAATTATTTATTTTCCTTTTGCCCTTAAGCGGTAGTTAGCTATTCAAATAATTTTTTATTTGTGATAAAAAAAATATGCATGCTCCATTCCATAATATTTTTAAAATTATAACCAAACAAACGAATTAATTTTTTTTTTTCATTTTATTTCATTACCATTCGTATTCTCACTACTATTACTATTACCATTCTTTACTGCAACTAAATACACCTTTAGAATTTTGATGAGATTATAGGTGGAGGTTGGTGTTGGGATTTTGATAGAATTGGGATTAGAGGGGTTGGGTTCAAGGTCTAGACCAGGGTGGTTAGGACTAAATCAAAACCATAATTGATATAAATCGTAGCCTCTTCCCAATCACAACCCTAACCGCGGCTCGTCCCTTGGTCTCGATCCCGACCTTAACTCTAATTCTAACCCTAACTCAATCACAACCTTAATCTCAGTCTCGATTTTAAAGACAACAAAAATTGAGAACACAAGTTTTTAATTTTTTTTAAAACAATTCCTTAATTTTCTTTTCTATTTTTTTGAAAGGAGATTAATTTAAAATACACATAAAAAATTAATAGTAGCAATTATCTGAAATATAAACTAACTACTTTGGTTTAAAAAGAAGAGATAAAAAATATTTAAAAAATATAAGTTGAAATCGAGTCGAAGACACAGATACTTAGGCCATGTTTGGTAGCTTTGTGTTGTATTGTATTGTATAAGGAGTATTGTATTTTGTTGTATTATTATAATACAATACAATATTTGGTGTCATGATGTATTATATAAAGGGTCAAAATGTAAAATTAATAATATTAGGGTCAAATGTAAATTTTGAAAAGTTTTGGGATTGAAATATAAATTTTGAAAAGTTTTAGGGTCAAAATGAAATTGTATAAAAGTTTTAGGGTCAAAGTGTAATTTTCAAAAGTTTTAGGGTTAAAATACAATTTTATAAAAGTTTTAGGGTCACAACGTAATTTTTAATAAATATAAATTTGCATAATGCCTTATAAATTTTTCAATGTCAACCCAGCCCTGACTTTTAGACGTGCCCGACCCTGACCTTTAGCCATGCCCAATCCCGGACATGAATCATTGATTCACTATGAAATAATATAATACAATACGTAAAATATGAGTTATATTCAATAATACGACATAGATCATATTAATTTACCATCCGTATTAGTTTATATAATACGATGGTCATATTAAATATTGTATTATTATATAATATGATGCTTTAATCCGGTAAAACAAACATATTCTTAGTGTTTATTTATTTAAGAGGACAACAAAATATTACACATCTTTTAGCTCGTGAACTAAATTTGGTACAATTTGCTATGTCTATCATTGTTCTTCATCATCTATTTATTTAATAAAAAGAATAATTTTGATACATTTATGTTGTTCAGGGGCTAAATTGGACATAACTTTCAACATAAGTACAACTTCTAGAGAGAAAAAAAAGCTTTGCGACTTTTTCACGGTTAAATTTGGAATTTTATAACCTTAAAAAATCAAAACTCTCAAAATGTGTTAAGTATTTATTTGATTGGAAAACTTATTTAAACATTTTAAATTTCTTATTAAATTTTATAGTTAAATGATATTTAAAATAACATTTTATGCAAATGACCCTTCGGGAGTTTCAAAACTTTGAAGGGTATTTTAGAATCTAACTTTAGAAATACGGTTATTGATAATGGAAAGGGTGTTTTGGGTAGTTTATCATAAAAAAATATATGTTATTGTAGAGTCAATTTGCCTTATTAATAATCTAATATAATATAACATTGCTTTATTAAAGAAAAGAAAGAAAACTTATAGGGTTTTCAACTCTCTCTCTCACCCGCACGAACCAAAAAAAAAAAAAAAAGAATGACGGCCGGAGTTTTGGGGCTGTTTTGCGCGCGCCGTCGGGCTTCCGGCTATGAAACTTGGTACTTCGACTCGCCTAGTCGTGAGTTTCTATATGTGGTGGCGATGTATAATGTGGTGGCTTTGTTTGGGTAGATCTAAATCAGTTTGGAGCTTCGAAACTGAAGGAATAAACTTCGTTTCCAGGCAAGTTTGTCGTTTAGTGGCTGAGATCTCTTGGCCGGCCATCTCCCTCAACGGCCCATTGGCCGGTTGCCCTTCACCGGAGGCTTCTAACGGAGGTGGTCGGAGGTTTTTTCTGTTTTTTTATGTAATTTTCTTGTTTATAATAAGGAAGGTGGTATCCCCACCTGACCCTCGTTTGTTTTGCTGTATGTTGTTAGTTTTTAATAGTCAACTTAATGTAGTTTGTATGTCTCATGACAAAGTTTTCTTGAGCTGGCTAGAAATTTTTCTATACCATGTAGATGTCTCCTCTTTGTAGAGTTTGGCGATATGTCCATCCAGTGCTCGAAAGCTTATTTTGATGGGAGACGTTTCTTCAATTCAAGCTTTATGCGTGTTCATTGTTAGTGTGCCGAGATGTTTTTATGTTTTCAAGTCTTAGGCGTGTGTCTGTCTCTCTAATAAGTCATTAATATTGTACTGAGATGACTGTTTATTAATTTTTAATTAAATGCAATTTCCTTTTTAAATTTAAAAAAAAAAAGAAAGAAAAATCGTTACAGGGGCCATCTAAAGATCACAAAAAAAACGTGAGAAAATAAAAAGTGGTCCCACATTTGAGGTTGTCATCATTGTTGTTTCACATAAATCTTTTAAAATAAATTGTGGTGGGAAGCATCTAGTGCGACTCCATTGTTTAGAAGAAATAGAAATAGACAACCTTGCTTAAAAATAAAAATAAAAATAAAAACAAAAACAAAAATTGCTTAAATTAATATTATAACGATATTTTATTAAACTAAAACCGTGAAATAGTTGTAACCATCTGGTGTTTGTTAATTTGCCTTCTCCGTCTCTCCTCTTACGAAGCTCAGCTCAATCTCTCTCTCTCTCTCCAGCTCCGTGTATTTTCTCGTCTGCAAATGGAGAAGGATTTTGGATCTGACTCCGATGATGTAAAGCTTGAAGAGGAAAAGCCTAAAATCTCTGAACAAGAAGAACCAGAAATAGAAAGCGGTGGAGAAGAAGAAGGGCAGGTCAAACATTATTCCAAGTCAACTTGCCAGAATTTGTCCAACACCAGGTAATTTAATTTCCTCGTATGTGTGAAAACTGCTAGCTGGAAATTTCAGGATCATAACGAAGGTTGGATTTTTTTTTTTTGGGACTGAGAAATTTGGATTTTCTTTCTTTTTATGCTGTTGAGAACAGATTTGCGTTATCAATTTTATGTCTAGAACTGGTCAGGTTAAAAGAATTTTTGTAGTATTTTAATGATTTGTGAAAAGGGTTCTCTTTGAATGGGTTTTTGTTGGGAATTTGGGGATTTTTTTCCCCCTTGTTTGTTGTTTTGGGCGATATTTTTGGTGCTCGGAATTTTGGAAAACAAAGGAAAGAAAGGAATTCGGGAGGCGTTTTGTAGAACCCAATTACCATGTGCCACTTCGTTTAGAATTGAGTAAAGTCTTGTTCTAGATTTGTCAATCTACAGTGCAAAAAGTGTCCTTTTTCTTTTGTTGAAATTTTTATTTATATTAACTTTTTTTTTAATGAAATTTATTTAGGTCAACTTAAGCATCAAGAAGTAGTTATTTCTTTTAGACATCTTGAATTTGCTACGGATCTTGGGGTTCTATTCTGCTTCTTGTGGGTCAATCCCGGTTGAAAGCTTCTCCATTCTATTTAGTAAAGTTTATGATATTGTCCTTGTGGGGAATCCATGTACTATGATGTATGATTCTCTTGTTTAATTCCACAACATTGTAGGTGTAGTTACAATATCTTACTTAGTCCCAAACCAAGCCCATAAAATTGTCAAGCATTCCGTACTATTTTGTTTGTTCCAACAAATTTACTTCATTATTGCAGTAGCAGAGTTGTTGAATATCTTGTAGCGTCGCTTTTGGTTATGATCTACTTGTTTGATTCTGCCGCAACAATCCGCAAAGTCACCTTGTTCTACTTTCTCGCCCAACCAAAACCCAATAGAAAGCTGATTTACTTCTAGATTTATGATTAGCAAAAAAGCCCTAATGGGCTTTTGTCTATTTGTTAGATCTTACTTGAAGAAAATTAAGCATTGGGTGGGGTGTGATGAGATAAGGAGTTTTTTTGTCGGGGCTGACACGAAATTCTGGTTTCTTGTTTTTTGATGTTTGAGACCCGAAATGATGCCAACATCTGCTTCAACCACTACAGTTCCTGCTGGGGCTCAGCTTACCATCTTTTATGGTGGGAGTGTTAAGGTGTTTGATGGAATTTCTGAAGAAAAGGTTTTCCTTCTAAACTGTGAATTCACAATTTCCATCCGAATTCACTCCATGTCTATTATGTGTTTTATGTTCGTTATCTGTTTCTTTTTCCTGTAAATAGGTCAAAGAAATTCTACGCATAGCTGCTGCCGCTGCCACCATCAAGTCTGGTGATGCGAAGACTATTGAGGCAGACAATGCCTCCAGCACCCCGCTTCAGGCAAGGTCGCCTGCCCTGCAAAATACTGCAGCTGCAATGGGTTCACTGTTGGCCCAGCTATGCCCTACTCCGAAGAGCACCCTTTGCAAGATGCAAGCTGGTAATAAATTGCACCACTAAACTAAAATCATGGAATATGGTTGTAATGATGCATAACAATATGTTATATTTCTTTTTAGCAAAAGTTGTTAAAGATGGATTCATGACTTCCGCTATCCTTTTTGTTGGTTTTCTTTAGAATTTCCAATTGCTAGAAGGCACTCCCTGCAGCGGTTCTTGGAAAAGCGACGGGACAGGTACCACATGAAAACACTGCCATGGAACCTCTCCTAATTTGAACGTGCACCATACACTTTGTATTTTTAATTGGAGGCGGTTCACCAAGTTGCAATTAGTATATAATAAAAAGCTGCCTATCACATGATCTATTCTATATTTATCATTACCATATGCTGATCAATGCAAGCTCTTGTGATGTTTAATCTTAGAAGTAAGTCAACCTCTAATTCATATATCATTTTGTGTTTCTTTCTTGCAGGCTGGTTAACAAGAACCCATATCCTTCTTCACCAGCAATGAAAGTAGAAAATGACATGCAAAGTTAACCTCCGCCGTAAAACTTCAGATTGCTTCAAAGAACATGTTCAGGAATCAGGAGGAATATTAACCACTTCTTACTTCCATCTTGCTTGGACTAGTTACACAAAGTCTTCACTAGATCATGGGGAACTTTTTAATATTGTAAAAATATATATCTATATATATCGACCTTGTGACATTTATCAAAAAGTAGTCACCTGCTTGTAGTGATGATTGACGTGCTTTGTGACTTTATGTGGCGTCATACATATAATATCCTAAATATGTCTCGTGGTCATAGTTCTTGAGATTTGTTAATGTTTTTGTCTTTTACATCTGCATTATCGTTTTAAGCCATCTGAATTTATTTGTACAATTGATAATTCTGCTACCACTTATTGTCGTATTCAGTTCAAACTTGAACGAATGACCAAAAAGTTTGGTCTGGCAGTGCTTCTCTTGCTTCCTTGGTTGACTAATATACCCCTTTTACTTGTGATCGAAGTGAAATACTGGATTTTAGATGACGAAATGGAATCACAAAATGGCCGACCTATCATATGACAGCTTGTCGGAAGAGTTACTCGATAATTGTTTAATAAAGATTAGAAAGATTATTGGCAATACTTTTGTAAATGCTCTGTTTTTGCTGACAATGAAGTAAAGTATTGCCATTCAAAAAGCGTCTTCTCGAATCACTTTTGAGGGAAATCGGGAGCTAGGAAGAGGCTTTGAGTCTACAACAACGCAAGACTGAATTATACTCCAAAAAAGGGTTCGGATCGATAAAAACAACATCTTACAAAATAAGTCTACACAGCATTAGAAGTCTACAAGCCATAACACTGATTACAAAATCCAGCATATATGGTTTGGAATTTAAGAACTTTTAAGAAGTCACTGCTATCAGCTAACATACAACATTGAACATTATGCACCTTTTCAGTGAGCACTGCGCAGGATCCCGTGCAAGTAGCCACCAGTCATTACAAGCGAGACGAGGGAAACGACACCTGCTGGAAATATCTTCCCCGAACTCTTGAAACGAGAACCCATCACTCCTAGCAGTGCAGCAGACAAGCCTGGAAAAACGGGGATGATGAAAGAAATTAAAGTAAATTCCAAATCTCTTTGTAATGAAATATACTGAACAGCAACTATTATATTTACTTCATGGACATCAAAATCCAGTGGCTAGTTGTTTGAGCTTTATACTTCAGTAGCAAATATGACAAACATTTAACTCCAATTATCACCAAACAAAGAAGAGAACTTGAGACAATTCTGCCAAAAACAAATTCACCGGAAACAGGAAATTGAAAACCGCTCT